TATGAACAGCAATGACATGCACACACAAAGATAATAGATTTCCCTCAGGAAACAGGCCGTTCGAATCAAGTGACAGCAGAGGCGCAGTCATTGCAAGACTAATGCATGAAGATATTTTAGGAATCCCTTCAGCTGTCACAACTGGCTTGATCAGGCCCTCTTCCAATTCCTTCAGGATTACCTCTCCAAAACTGATAACATTTTCAGGGAGACAGAGAGAAATATCTGAAGAGTTTTCAGAACCATTTCCAGGGGACATCTGAAGACGTACTTCGTTATGATGTTCAGATAGAACCTCATTATTTCTCAGAGAGTTATCTAATGGGAGACACTTCGGTGAGCTATTGTTTTGACAAATCTCATCAGAAGTAAACGAAAGGCTCCACAGATGGGTTGTGGAAGGGATAAGAATGTTATCACTGCTGGAATAGCTAGAATCTTTGAGATTACAAAAAGAATCTTCTCCATCATGCTTTGTGATATAATAACAACCAATATGCAACAACTGAAATGTAAACAAAAATTAGTGTAGTTTATTTCACTGAATTATTTACTCAAGCATGTCCTAACCATGAAAAGGAGAAATCTGACGCACCTGATACTTACAAAAACTTTCAGATGTAAACTCCAGCAATACCTTCTGTCCACTTGGTCTGCAAAAGCCACCATTATTTAATTTGGCCCTAGTGCAATGCAAGATAACTGAACCAACTAGACTGTGACCGTTGACTCCACTAATCATAGCCGAACAAGATATCTCACGAGATGTCAAGTCACAATATTTCTGTTTCTCCCTGGATTCCTTGTAAGAAATAGAACAAGAACTCGGTTCTCTGACTGACTCGGAGGAATTGTTCACTGAATTAGAACTTAATCCCCTGCTTGATGAATGATTAACCTTACGCCTCTTGGGAGAAACATGGTCCAAGTAATTTCCACCAGCACTTTCCATGGAATTCTTCGGATTATCCCCAAAAGCCCTAGTTGGACATGAAATCTCATAGCTTCCAGCAAGAAATAAATCCCAAGGCAAGATTATAGCCTCCACAAACATGCTTGAAGAGTTTTCTATAACGACATCATCTTGATACTGTTAAAATTCAAGTAAGTAGATCACTAATAAGTAAAGGAAACACAGACAGTATTTCCATGTCTACTATCAAGAGTCCCCTTCTTCCATTTTGGGGTTTATGAGCAGCTTTTGGAAACACTACTGAAATTACATAAGATAATAAATTTGGAATATACCTTCTGTAGCACTGGAAATTTGTGGGTAACCAAAAGCAAGTGAAACATTCCACTTTCAAGTCTCTTCAAATCTTCTCCCGGTCCAGTACAAGGATAAATGGGTATGTTTCTGCACATCGAATTTCTCAGACGAAAGTAAACATAAACTGTTAAATTCATCTTTCTTGCTAACGGTATGAAATGAAAGAGGGTTCTGCATGAGAATAAATCATTGTTGAGCAATCCTATACACTCCACAGACTGAGGCATTCCTTCAATAACAAGACTGAAGTCAGCTACCTGGAAAGCCACACTGAAATAAGTGAGTCCAGATACATAAAGGGTGTAATGGACATGTAGAGATCAGTAGCTATGTCCAGATATTCTGTTGTAAAACACGACCTTGTATATTCTATTGGCATCCCAAGTTGATGGAAGGTCTGGTATAAGAACATCAATGCTCCCAGTTGCATCAACCAACTGCAGCCTTCCAGAAGATGGAGAAGTCTGTATACTCAATATAAAATGTTGAATAAATCAACTGTAATTAAAAAAATTGTTGAATTACAAAAATGTTAGGGTGATGACAAACCAAAAGTATTTAATTGTAAATGTGCAAATCTCAACTATAAATTATTTAGACTTGACTATTAATATGCTAACACCTAAGAACCTGAACGTCATGCAGTAAATCATTATTCTGTCACGAACAACAAACTCAGGCTTTCTGTACTTCCCAGCATTTTGGAACCAGATATTATCATGTACAGTTGTTATGTCAAAGAACAAAATCACAGTTTAGACAACTGGGATAGACAATTTCATTCAGCAGTATAACTAAAGAAGTAGAAATAGGAAACCAACCACTAACCTTCAAACTTCCCATCAATGATACACCTATATCTTCACTTGAAAAAATCTTTCTAACAGACTGAACGTGAGATCTCCCTTCACAGAATTGAAGGCCATATTTCTTGTCATCATGCAATTTTGCACAGCTATTTTCCAACTGCACTGCTCTCATCCAAAAGGCCTCACAATGACATATGAAAATAGATAACGGCACTACCTGAACTTAAGAAAATATATGAAAGTTACCTTTCAGCACTAACTTAACACCAAACAAACAGCCATAAGAAATTGACAGTTCTACACCTAATCAAGGTGCCCAACATTAAACAGAAGCAACCCAATGCAAACGTAGATCACATCACACAAATGATTCTGGGCAGGACATACCAAATTAGGGTTACCAGTGTATGGTTCACAACCACAGACACTTGAATCATGGTTGCACAGTTCCATGAATACTCCATGCTGCGAATATAAACTATATAAGATTTTAACAGAAAAGTATAACAAAAGAAGTGTGCTTATTCAGAAGCAAAACCAATTTACCCGAGTTGGATGCATTGATGAAGGAAATTGTGAACTAGCATACATCTGAACAAACCCTCCCTTCTGATAGCACCTTGCAACCATCCAACTCACCCTATTAGGTAATAACATAACAAACACTGTGCAAGAAAACAAATGTTTCAACTCAAAGGTAAATTACATGTTTTGTTCCCAAAATCTCCTTCTCAGATAAGATGCCAGAAAACTTTTTCCGGAAACATGAGGCAATAAGCAATACCCTGAAACTCAACCATACTGCTTAGTAAGCTAACCAGGAAAGTAATATATTCTAAACATTGGAAACAAAACCACAGAATTTCCCATCCAAACACAAAAGAGATATCAACAAAAACCAATACCATAATCTGGCAGAAAATGTTAAGGACTCAATGAACTTCCCCAACGAACTCTGTGATTGCGGAAGTATATGACACCTGCAGCATGCAATTATATTACTTTCTGAGCATGCATATGTCCGGGCATCCCAAAGATGTTAAATGGCTTAAATGCATATTAGCTCATCCAAAAAAGGTGTGATTGACAATTATCTCAAGTGCAATTCACAGTACATGTCTTTACCCAGTTTCCAGTGGGGAGAAGGATTCCACAATAACACTAGTCTTAAAGCAAGCACCAAGTATAAGAATTTTTGTCCAAGAAAATCTGGGGTTCACAAAATGGACATTTCTCACAGAAACCTGAAAAAAAAGCCAAAAAATTGAAAAGTTTTAAAAATCAAATTGACAAATAGTATAGATCAAAATCATTTAAGGCAAAAAATTTAACAAAAGATATAGGACTTACGAGTGCACCCGCCCTAAGGCTATGCGGTGGAGTAAGCAGTTGATCAGTTAACAAAAGCCACACCTCATTGTCCAACTCAGCAACCATCCCTTGCATATACACACCTTTGACTATCCCTCTATATGTGCCACATTCACCTTTTCCCTTGGCAACAGCTGTACATTTTGGCCGCCATTTCCATGACAATCTAAGCAGATGCAATGCAGAATTTTCCGTAGTTACATACATTAGTTTAGACTCTTCCTTTCCTATAAAAACCAACTTCTTTTTCAAGCCTGATAAAGCCACAACATTTCCTACAAATTTTGTGAAAACAGGATGCCATGACGAAACAGAACCTGAACAATATACAAACATTGGTTTGTTAAAAGAATGTGCATCTTTTTCTTGAATTGAATCCTTCAAAACTGTAACTGCCTGCTTTGAACTGCAGAATTCACACTCACAAACCATAAATTGGAGTAAAAAGCCTCGGAGGCTTGACGAATGGCTTGAATCTGAAGCCTTATTGGTTTTCAAATTGCTATGACCAGTTGCACAGGGAACAGTGGACACAGGGCTAACTACCTCCAATGCGCCAAATACACCATGACGAGCTCTGGAGCTGTCTTCGTGGCCACTTGAAGAGCCCGAACCAAGAGGAATGGAATTGAAATTCGAACAGGGACGAAGTCCGCTATTGGAATCTTGAAAACTCCATCTGATAATCTCCAAGAATCCTCCACCACGTTTCCAGGGAATGAAATTCCAAGCAAGAACACTGATTTTCTTCCCCATAATCCGAACGTCGAAGTCAAGAATGTCGCAGCAGATGGAAGCCGAGCCGTCGGAGAATTGGAAGCAAGTATTGTAGGAGCATCGAGGAGTGGTGTTTGAAGAGGCTGAAGCGGAGGCGTCGATGGCGGTGGGGAGGGTTAGGGTTCCGAAGATGATGGCCAAGTGGTCAAGAGGGGGAAGAACCTTATGGCTAGGATTGGGGTTGGGGTTAGGGTTTGAGTAGATGGGAATGGAGCGTGTGGAGGGCTTTGATGTTTCGTTTGAATTGGGGGAGATGGAGGATGTGGCGGTGAGGGAACGACCGCGTTGGAGTAGCTCTGCAATTGTGAAAATTCTCACATTTTCCATTGATGAGGATGGAGGAGGAAAACAACTGTGGAAGCTCTCTCCACACACCGAGAAGAGAGTGAGAGAAGCAGTGGGGGCGCGGGAGCGGGAACGAAGGGGTTTATAAAACCCAAAACGACTCGTCGTTTGACTTTGTTAGTATAATCTCACACGCGTCGCAGTCCCACAGCTTCGTTTCGTATGATTTCGTTTATTTTGGGCCTGGAGTGGTATGACATGGCAGTCGCACATGGTAATTTCAGCCGTCTGTTTTTTTCCCAAAGAGGTGTAGCTAATAAAATGGCCTTACATATTAGTGGTATGTGTGAACCCGGATAACACTTCAGTAATGTGTGTTAGAATTTATTTATTTATTTATTTATTTTTTTGGGTTGAGAAAGGATTTTCTATTTCATTAAACAAAGCGAACAAGGAAAACAAAAAGGAAAATCCTTTTCTAAACTGGAATGGGATTCTCAGTTTTATTGGGATTTTTGGTTTCCAATCCTAATCCTAGTTGGAAAATGCAAGTTCTATATATACCTCCGCTTCTCACCCTATCAAATGTGCACTCTGCAACTCATTACATCACAGCAGCAAGTTTGCAAAATATTTGTGATCCAAATCGAATTGTTCTGTTTTCAGACAGCTTAGGTGAGAAAATCCTGCTCCTAGCCATGAGTTCCTTCAATCAAGCAGAGCCAACCCAAAATGACTTGCTGGCCAAGCTACCACCACCGGCCATGGTTAACAACAAAAACCCAGCCACTGTCGAAATCACTGCTGAGCAAATTCTCCGTGAGGCACGTGATCTCCAGCTTCTCCATAATGAATTCGTGGAGGGTGCTAGGGCGATTTACGAGCAATCTGTACAATGTCAACCAAATCAAATTCAGGCTTGGATGAGGGAGGTGTATGAGAGGGCACTGGAGAAGGTAGACCTAGCTGATTTTAATGAGGCAGCAGAGCAGTTGCTGGTGGCTTTTGCCGAATTCGAAGAGCAGTGCAAAGAAATCTTGCGTGCAATGTGTATATACAAGTTCGCTCTTGATCATTTACCAAAAGGACGGGGCATGGATTTATATAGCAAATTTGTACTTTTTAGGAAGCGTCATGGGGTCAGACTAGGGATTGAAGATGCCCTTGAGAGAGAGATGATGTCTCTGGAGATCAAGATAATATTAGCTGCCTACAGGTGGAAGAAGGAACAAGTTTCTTCTCACGATATTGGAAGCGGCCTACAGGAGGAAAGAGGAACAAGTTTATTCTCAAGATTTTGAGAAACGCTAATTGGATTCTGCCTGTTTGTAACTTATAGATTTCCAATTCAAATGATATATTTTTTTCATATTGTAAAATTGCATCTGAAGTGCTGGCTCCTGAACTAGAAATTGAAAATTAATAAATAAATGAAATCCTCAACTGTTATCAGTCTATTCTGCCTAGAAAAGCCTTTCCCAGTCTCGAAGTAACATTTTCAGAGCTGGGGAGAGTCCTGAGGTTTCCACTATCTGACATGTAAAAGTAATTGTAGTTTATCCTAGTTACCAAATCTGCTAGATGAGGAAAGTGCCCCACATTGAGCTTGAAAGAAAGCACCTGCAGAATCAGCATGCACCAAACCACACGTTAAATGCAAATCTTAAAATCAGTCCCATCTGAATCAAAATCAATGCAAACAGAAGATTACTCTGAGCAGGAAAGCAATGCAATCATCGAACTGTTTCTCAATACGGTCAACTTCCATTTCACATTTGGCCTTAATTGCAGAAACTGTTCCGCCACTAAGTGTGAGCTGTATAGCATAAAAGTCCAATGCTAATCCCAGGATGTTGTTAATCCTGCTCGCTATAAGAGCCCACTGATGCAAAAGAGAGTAATAAACAGAATTCAGCTTTTCTTGGGGCATAAAAGATTATTTCATAGTCCATGAGTTCTCAAACAAGCCAAACTACCCACCAGCTTATCTGGAACTACAAAACACTGCCGCTGAATTGTCAACAAGTACAATTCATGTACTTCTATGACTTCGTCAAGAGATCGAGCGGCTGTCATGCCTTCACAAAGTTCACGCCATGCATTGTGATATACCTGTTTAACAAGTACTAGTTAGTGATCTAAAAATTCCATATGCTTTCCAGAAAGCAAGCATATACCAGCACAGTTAATAATAGAAAGGGTTATTTTATGTTAAAAGGAACAAAACTTACTCTATCCATCACATACTGGTGAAAAGCATCCACAAAATGGAGAAGTTTCTGCTCCACTAACCAGTGACGTTTGTGATTGTTTGCTGCAGTGCCTCTACCCTGTTTAGGAAAACAAGAAACACCGAAGTCATTGTATTATCACACGGAAATAGCTCTTGTCATTAGGCCAAGTAAATTATCACTGCTCATAATTTATAAAAAGGGCATCAAAACTAACCTTCCACATCCACCTTCGAGTTTTATCAAGTACGAATTTTGCTCGCTTGACCTTTAACAAGAATCCCATCACCTACATCAATGTTTAACGATTAGATAACAAGTTTAGTGGTCAGGAAGTGACCCAGTTGGTAGTCACACCTCCCCTCCAAGAGGAAATCCCAAGTTGAAATCAGGTCACCTCTCCCCCAAAATGTCAGATTGATTCGTGA